GTCTCGCGCCTTGGCGGGCATCGGAGTGTGAAACTAGCGGCTTGATGCGGCTTGCGCGCAGCAGGTTGGCAGCACGCTGCGAGCTTCCGAGGTGGCGGCACCCACACCGTCCCGTGGGACTGCACGTGGCGCTCAGACCGCCCCGCAGGGCTGCACCTGAGCGGCCAGTGAAGTCAGTTCGCTTAGCAGCATCGATAGAGCTCCTTTGCATTTTCCGGATCATAGAGCTTTCGCATGTCAGTCACAGCAGATTGAGTAGTCGGCTTTGTCAAGGGTGTCTCAAAAACTCTGCTGAAATGGATCAAGTGACACTGTCTTGGCTCCCTCCAGGAGGCTACCTCACCGGAGGGGCTTCGGAAATACTGACACATCACTCAGTTTGAGAACTCAATCCAGCATGTGCAGGTCTTCCGCTCGGGAAAGCGTTTCTGCATAAACCGCCTAGACGACACTGTGCGCAAATTCGCCGTCCAGCAGATAAGTGTCCCTTATGTAGTTCGAGCGAGCCCTAGCGGGCACCCAGCGCCAGGATTCTGTCCAGATCTTTTAAGGGGCTGTCCGCTCGCCAGGCGGCATCAAAGAGGGAATATAGGTCGCGTTGGGACTGCGAAGGAAAAGTCCCCATGCCACTCCCAAATTATTGCATGGCCAGACGATGTACCAGACCAGGGAGCCTGCAGTGGCTGCAGGATCCTTTACGGGCCGGTCGCCATTTATTGACCATATGTCCAAAATACACTGTAGTGGCCACCGGACGTCTCCTTTCACAGCGTACGTGGCAGCGCATATCTGGGCTGTCAATGTCTTCGTCAAGCAGTTCTTGTAGCAAAAATCGCCCTCTCGCAGAACTAAGTTCGTGTGCTAGGGTAGGTGTGACGATGAGCTCGAATTCTGTCCTGCCGTACCACCGGGCAAAGGCGGCACGATGTGTTGGTGCCTCAGGATAAAAGTGCGTCGGACGCAGCGAGAAGCATGCTGGAATTCCCAGGGCTTCAAAATAATCCGCAAGTCTGTGACCAGTTTCTTGGTGTAGACCTGCATATTTTAAGACTGTGCGACGGCGACCTGTGAAGGAAAAAGGTCGCAGACCAGCTCTGTGGTGCTCCGTTGGGAGGTAGAGCTTAGTTCTCTCCTCCGAATGAAACACCACAAGACCCTGACGCAATGGGTCTAGATACGTCTGGGACGGCTCTCCATCGCGGAGGCCACATGTACTCGGGCGCCAGATCCAGCGACCAGCGCGGGTGGATGTAGGTTCTGTCTGTTTCTCTCAGACATGGCGCCAGGAAGGATCTCTCGTGCGAAACCGTGTCACGCTGCGTGTCACAGATTCCTGCAGCACGAACCTCACGCAGTCTGGCGTGTCAGGACGAGGGCAAACCAGGATGCATTTGGTAGTAAGTGCCCGGCCAGGTCGAGCTCAGATGACCTGAAGACCTGAGGTTAGGGCGCAAGGGGCTGCGACACGACGCAGACTCTCCGAGCCTTTATAGTGCAGGGCTGTGCTTTTCCACGCAGAAGAGACCTCATTTCTCCTAGGCAGTCCGGCAGAGTACGCTAGACCCTTTGTAGGAGGCTACCTCAACCAGGAGAAGAAGGCTCTCCATTGGCTAGCCGCGGTAGAGATTATTGCTAGGGTTAGGGTACAGGGCGCAAGCAGGGGGGAATGGTTAAAGTGATGATCAGCTGTACAAATGGTGGCAGCAGCCTGAGAAGCCTTCGGCAGGACTAGGGGCACAGAGGAACCCAGTGAAGCCGCAGCCGTCGCTGGTGTTGGTGCAGGAGGCCCTGACACCGCAAAAGGCGCGAAGGGCGTGCGGGGAAAAGCCTTTGGCTGGACAGGGGCTTCTGCCTTTTCTTTAGGCATGTTCGCCGGTACCGGCGGGGGAGGTCCTTTAGGGGGACCTTCCCCTAAGCTGCGCTCCCTCTCAGGCGACCAGCTTGCATCACCCGAGTCGTACTGCTCAATGTCGCCCGAGGTAGTTGAGCTGCTGGACGGAGTCTCTCTCTTGCGGGAGGAAGACTTGCTGGGTTTGCCCTGACGATCTCCTGATGGATTTGCTGTGTAATTAGGCTTCTTGAGGATGGAAGGAATCGTACTCGGCCTCTTCAGGCGCCGCGAGGAATTGGGGTGTTTGGCCATGGGATAAAGCAGGATATGCAGATGGGCACAGTTTGAGCTGAATAATAGGCTGAGCTGAGCAAAGGCTGCCAAGAACCGAGTGAGGCTGGTGCCGTACCGAGTTCACGGTTGACGCTCGTCCGAACTCATCGCCTCACGTACACTGCGCACTCTGAAACTGACGAGAAGGCATCATTCTCTGCAAGTTGCAATGCACCCTCAAGAGAATTGACAAGGGCGGCCCCTCGGGGATCCAAAGTCGGAGTTGAGGAAGCGGAAAGCTGAAGCTTGCTTTAAAAACCAGCCCCGAGGAGGCTACCTCGCCCAGGCAGGCAGAGGTCCCTGAAAAGGACAGATTACTCAGCAGGCTTTGCCCTCAGGCTAGGCATCCGACATGTGAAAGTCCTCGATCCACAGCGCGTAGTTGTGATCTAGTTTGGCCAAGCAAAGAGAAAGTGATCTCGGTCTGGCCAGTACATCTGCCCAGGTCTGTTGGTAGCCAAGCGCGTGATGAGCACTCGTAGGGAGATGGGAAAAGCGACGGCAGCTGCCGTGGAGCGGTTGATGCCTGCCTGGCCCCAGGTTTCCAGGAGGGAGGCTACCTCAACCAACTGGTCCGCTATGTGAAGTGAGGTCCTCTTCTGTCTGCATGAGGATGATAGTGATGAGATACTCCCACCTCTTGAAAATGATGGCCCCGTTGCTCGAGCCCGCCTGCCGGGAGTGCCGCGAAGGCGGCAGCCTAACCTGACATGTCTAGCGATGATCCTCCGCCAGAGCCCGAAGAGCCTATCACTGAAACTACGAAGCGGCTTGGGCGGCGAGAGTCCGCTTGCTGGAGCCCTTGGTGCTAAGATACAGACAAGAGCTTAATGTGGCCAATACTACTAGGCGAGGATGGCATGAGTCGGATCTTCGGCTGGACGCTTTTTGGCGTTTGTAACTACCTCCATCAGAATAACAACAACTCCGTGACCTGGTGGCCAGACTATGACTCCTTCATTCTCTATCACGACCACGACCTTACGGTTAAAGTCGGCTCCATTCGCACTGCGGCAGACGCTCAACTCCTGCATTGGTCCCACATGGACATGGTTGTGTCCTGGAGCAAGGGGCAAGCTGGATGGAAAGGCAGCTCTGCACGACACTTCAAGGCACATGCTACGGGCAAGCGGATAAGACTATCCTGCACAGTTGACCAGGGCTGAGACCGGGCCTACCAATACTTGAGACTAGGCGATCAGCTTCCCCCCTTCCGCAGGCAACCTCACAGAAGGGGGGGAGAAGACAAGCTATACATGCGAGGACTCGCCAGAGTCAATCCTGGCTAAAGGCAGGATTAACTGTCCAGAGTGCATAGTCCTGATCAAGTTCCATTTTCTCAGATGGTCCTTCGTAGACGTGGTCGTCTACTGCTGCCACCTTGAACCTCTCCACGGCACTCCCGGAGACCTGGAGCACTGTGGGGATTCCACTTTGATGACTGTGGTATCTCTCACCGCTACTTCCCGCACTTTGGCCGGAAAAATCTCCAAGGGATAGACCGGGTGATCGAGGTCGCTTCTCTCCTCGACATGCGGCGCCGCATTTATCAGGAGACGGCAGCCCAGCGCAACATGTCCAGGGTCTTCGGCAACATGCACACCCTCTTCCACGGCTACGCTGGAGTGAATCGCTCGACGGCGGCCGCCATGGCCTTCCTCACAATGGACCAGAATCTTTCGCTTCGTTCCCTCATAACAAGGCTGGCGGAGAGCAACAGACCGGGCCAAACTTACTGGCGTAACAAACATCAGTATCTTTTAGCTCTGGCAAAGACTGATCATCAGCAGCGGTACGGAGAGCGCCCGCTCGGACGGTGAGGTGTGCGTCGCTGTGGAGTATGAAGGAGTCATAGTCCGGCCAGCAATGGATTGGAGATTATGGTAGTCGCGACGCCAGACGGCATCTAACCGTAAGTCCATCGCTGGCCCGCTTCGTCGTTTCGCGTTGGCTTCTTCGAGTTCTCGTCTGTATTTGCACACCAAGGGTTCGAGAAGGAAGAAGCGAACAGACCAGTCCTCAGCAACCTGCTCATCTGTGGAGTCTTCCAGTCCAGACATGGCGCTGGGGTTCAGTGCGTTTAAGCCAGGCTGGCTGCACTAGGCTCCAAAACTGCAAGGCTGCAGAGTTGCAAGACGATGAAACTGCACTGAGAAAGAAGAACTCCAACAGCTGAGCATGCTGAAGCCATAACCTTGTCAAGCGGCTGACCTGGGGGCCATTAAGCAGCAGAGCGCTAGGTGCTTGCCCCTTGCCTGGCGCGCCAAACTGCCCGGAGCCTTCTTGCCAAGACACTCGCCCTCATAGGAGCCCAGGAGGGTCGCCATCAGTGAGACATACTTGGCCAGGGGGGAGTGCAAAACCGGCCGGTAGTCCAGGATGAGATGGTCCTTCTTGGCACTCAGCCGGGCAGAGCAGTACGCCACATGCGTCGATAGAAGGGTATGTGGTGCCGGGCCAAGATCTGAAACCCACTTCTCAAAGTCCTTAAGAGCCACCGAGTCAATGCCAGGAGGAATTTGTTTGGACTTGGAGAGCTCGAACAGCAGCGCTCCCGCAACGTAGTGATGGATGGCCTCGAAGGGATGGGCTTTGCCTTGCTTGTGCTCGGCCTGCCACGCCTGTACAAACTTCAGAAGCATCTGAGATAGTGGCTGTCCCGCCGGGAGCTTGTATACCAGCGAGGTCTGAAGTTGCACCAAGGCTAGCTGCTCGTCGCGAAGAAGAAAAGCCTGCGTGAGCTCTTGATTGGTAAGAGCCTTGACTCCAGATTTGGGACCCGTCCCGCTCCAGGAGGGCCTTCTTGCATGTCCGCGTCCTCCTGATGGGCATCGGCAGTAAGGCGTGTGCGCTTGTGATCCGGGCTCTTACCCGGACTCTTAGATGCGCTTAGCTTGCTGCTCTCGACTTGAAAGAAAAACTGCGGTAGGCCCGCACATGCCTATAGCATGTTTGGCCTTGACGTGGGGCGGGTCAGCCCACTTATTGTGGGATCTGACCTTCCCACGCACAGGCACCCCGGGAGGTGCTAGCATTAACGACGGGGGGCCGGCACCTACCTTTAAGGTAGGTCGGTTCACTGCTTTTTAAGAAAAAGTACGTAGCTGCCTTGCCGGATGCGTTGCCGGTCTGA